TCCTTGGATAATTTCGCGGCCTTGATCGTAGAATGAGATATCAATTAAACTTCGTGTTGACGATAATCTTTAATTGTGTCGTAATATTTTTTTTATTATTAAATTGAAATACGCATGCATATACGTGCTGCTATAATTAATCATAAGTATTAGCGTAATCAATAAGAATGCAATAATATGTCTAATGATCTTTGGATCGTCGCGAGTCGGGAACGGGAACGGGATGTAGATGGAATCAAAGTACTTTCAAGCGGAGACATTTTATAAAATATTTGGCATTTATTTAAGCTATCATACAAAACGATCAAAATAAATTATATGAAAATGCAAATGTTGAAATGAACATAGTGAACGTCGATCCCATGAAAAATCAATCGATAGCTAATACTGGCTTTTGACTAGTGGTCTAAGATTGATGATTGTCATCCAGTAAAAGGAGAAAGTCCTGTTGTTTTATGTTTATCCTTTAAATCGTGGACATCCCGATGGATCTTAGAGCTCCTACTAATTAATGGAGTAATTATGGCACTGCGGTAGATCGCGACGATGAAGTCCATTATGGGCTGTGGTATAAAGCTGGCATGAACGATGAGACATTCGCCAGATTCGATAGACAAGAGTAAGCCATTCCCGTTATATTTTTTTAATAATAAAAGAAATGCGTCCCTTCAAAGATTCACAGAAGCGCTCCTCCCCAAGGCTGATCCGGTTATATGATTATCTTCGGATTCCTGTGGTTCCTTCGGAGAATCCCGAGAATCCCGGTCATTGAATTTCTCGAACTTTTTCTCGATTCTTCCGACGATGTGGCTTCTGTGTCGTCTCTTACTTAATTTTTCATCTTCCGGCTGATTCTTCTTGAATGGCCGCATTGCAATGGTGCGATTGAGAAGCTAATCGTCGCCGGAAGTACGCTCTATGAGCGAAATTCAGTTCGTGAGCGAGATCAAACTCTGCTGCCTCTTCTCTCGTTCGCTTCACCGAAGGACTTCGGTTGTCCGACAAAAGGTGGAACGAGAATCTGCATGGCGGAAAGGCGCAGTGCGGTCGTTCGTAACTTAACTTAAACGTCGTAACTTGAATATCGATGGCACGGGGGAAATTGCACGATCGACCGTGCAAAGATCTTCCTTGCAACTGCGAGGAAATTACTTCCTGCCCCACGGGAGATTACCTCGATGGCTGTGCGTCAAGGTGTAGTATCGCCCGAAGGATCCGTGATTGCCCTTCGAGCTGTCGTTGCTGCTGGAGCTCGTGACGCTCTCGGATCTCCGGATGGGCTTCTTCGTAGGGTCCAGCAGGCGATCCAGCATCTGGCGGATCGTGCTGTGTTTGCGATTGAACGGATTGGTGTACATGGTCGACCTTCCTCTCGAGTTCTCTCGAGCGCAGAACCTGAGTTTTGGCGGGTCTCGCGTCGCTTCTGTTTTCTCACACTCGAAGAGCTCGTTCAAATTGCGCCGATGAACTCCAGCGATTGTTGTTCCTTAGCACTTGGCACAATCTGCACACTGTCCACGTGACGGATCGCGCCGGAGATTATCGCGAGATCAGAGATCAGTGATGGCCACGCCAACTGGAACTCGATTTCCGAGCTCAAACAAGTCGAACACGTGCTTGAACGTAGCACGTTCTGCGAATGAATGCGTGGACTATCGGCCGGCCTGCTTTATATAGCTCCGATGCGTGCCTCGGCGGCCTTCGGACAAGCTCGACTAACCGATGTCGACTCTTGGAGTTTATGCGAGTCGTTTCGAATGCGCAGGTATTCGTGCCGGCGATCCTGGTGCAGCTACTTCTGCGAGCATGCCTGCGTGCGTACGTGTATGTGTATGTGCGTGCAAGCATGCGTGTGTTTGTTAAGAATGTATAGGCACAAGAGGATCCACGTGGAGATCCTTAATCCGTCCGTCGCTATTGTCGCGTCTTACGATAAAAAAAAGTACGACGGTACTTCCCTGATCGAGAAGAGGCAACTTGACAAACTGATGATGCGTAAAAAGTTACTGTGGCCATAATTTTTCATCAATGTTCGCCATTTCGCTTGTTGAAAAAATTATCAGAGAAATATGACGATAAAGAATGTGAAATGAAAATTTAAGATTTATTTTTACTTTGATCTGATTTTTTTTTCTTATTCACGCATTTTATACGCATTCAATTAATAAATCGGATTAGAAAAATTTTATTAATTATTTACACAAAAAGTATCCAAAAAGCTACACAATAAAGTTTAATCATTTCCATGCCACTGTATTATTGTACTAAAAATAATAAAAAATTGAATAGAGTTAAGTTATGAAAATAGCAATAATTAGCAATAAAATATATTCTGTAATAGATTTTTCTAAACAATGTTCTATGTAATAGAACGTAAGAAAATAAAAGTTGCTTTTTATTTTCTCGATTTTTTTATAAAAATCATGTAGAAATTTTGCGTCACAATCGGCGCGGGTAATTACCTATCGGAAATTATACCAAAGATTTACATAAAAAGATGCGAAGTTTCCAGAAATCTGACGTCGTGGATGTCCGGTTAAATATTGCGAACAAAAAATCTCCATGTTTTATGTAGCCAAGTCGTTTGATTACATTTAACAACGAC